TTGGTATTTGAAAAGAAGGCAAATTTGCCCTAGAATGAGTTAAATAAATAATTTGTATAAATAATGAAATTAATATGGAAAATGTGAAATTGGGAGGATGTATGAACGGATGGTGTAATTAGATTTGTTAAATCACTCATCTATGGAAATTTGATTAATTATCTATTATAAAGATTTTCTATTTGTCTAGAAATATCTGTTTTGGGCTATCGGTGGAAGATAGCTATGATTGTTGTAGAAATTGCATGAGGACTAGGTGAATTGAACCCTGTCATTTAAATTATGTCATTGAATATGACGGTATGATTGAAACATTGAATATGTGTTGTGGTTAGTCATTGTACATGACGATGTTTTTAATACATTGCATATGTATAATTGTTTGGGAGGAGAAAGGGGATGGACTCTATTTAAAATTAAGTTAGCCGGAGTGTCCAGGGTGAAAGTCCCGAAATCTTGTGTATATATGGGTGTCGATTCCGTCGGAGGAGAATTTCGTAAAATGGCAAAATAGAAGTGTTGGAGTGATGAATGTATTGAATTATGAACCATTGAGTTGTAGTCTCATCTTGGTTGATTAGATAATAATGAATTTGGAAAATAGATTAACCTGAAATGAATGAATGGAAATGGATTGAGTTATAGTTATTTATATTGAATGGTCATAGAAAGAATATAAGTTGGTTACGAATATTGAACATTTATCTGGCACTTATATCTTAGTTAAATCTCATATACTGTGTTAGATTATCTCTGCTGGGCATTGGCTCACCCTACTTGGGAAACCATTTTCAGGTACTGGTGACATGCCACCTCCAAGGACATAGCTTGGGAGGACTGAGGGCTGAAGGCTGCCTAGTGTTCATTCAAGCAAAGGGCTTTACATGTATAGAGCTTAGGATTCTCTCTTTTGTTGTAACCAAGTGATATTTTGGAAAGATGTAAGCCCGTAGGGCATTTATTTTGTTATTATTAACTCGTATTACATGCTGTAGATTCAGAATGAATGTTTATGAATGTATAACGCATGTAATATCCTTTTGTAATAAAAACTCGGATGAATGAAAGTATAACATTTTCATTATGTCCATAGATCTTATGAATGGTTTATTGGTATCATATTTTGGGGGCATTACACATCCCAAGGTAGACCAATTATAATTGTGGGTGCTGTGTAATTGTGGGTGCAGTATTCTATTTCACATTTTTACTTCAACACAAAGTATGTCACTTTAACTTTCTCTTTGAGTCTCAAATGATATATTGATGTTGTTTTCCTTTTCACGAATTATCGAGTACTGTCACTGATGTAGTTTTAGGTTTCTCGAATAATATCTAGTGGATGCAATTTATCTTTACTAGGAGCGCTATTTTTTTATTTTTTAAAAATTATTTTTGCACTGCAATGTTTGCTGGTCCTTCACATCTTATTGCTACTAGCCACATTTAACATTTGATCTCAGATTTTTAAGCTTTTTATCATGGTTAAAAACGATGATGGAAAAATTGCACAATCACACCTTCATTAATCACAGTTTGTGTTAGAAAAAACTTAGATTGGCCATTGGTCCTTTCTTCATTGGCCTAATTGTATTGTCAAAATGTATGAAATGACTGGGCTTTGGAAGAAAAGTGTGGTCCATTGGGATTGGTAGAATGTGTCAATCATGATTTGTTGCAACCATATCCTGTTCTTCAGGAGAAGCTTGGTAAGAAATTCTAAAATTCTTGTAAGGATTCAAACATTTGCTATATGTGCGTTGGCTTCTCAATCTTGGAATATCTATATTTTCTTCTAGTGTTGAAAATTTTGGTTTGTTGTGTAGGTGATTATGTTACCCATATAAAATTCACTGCTCTACTAATGCCAAATGGGTCAGATTGCATTACGTCCGATCCTCTACAGGAGCTCCAATCTACTAAAACAATATATGACCCTAAAATTAAAGCTTGGTTAGCTTTGGACACAAAAACAAAGAAGAAAGGTGGAGGGGAGAAGAAGAAAGGTATGCTAGCATTATATCCCAAAAAGACTGATCATAAACTTTGGAACAACTTATTTAAGCATGCAAATCGAATTGCACTACTATGCACTTACAGGCCCATCCTAATCGTTCGTGTTTGCAGGTAAAAAGGGTGACAAGGTTGAGGCATTTGCAAAAGCCAAGCCTATGGATGCTACAACAATGCTGCTGGCTCTTAAAAATGAGAAAATTTAAATTTTTATTTGAATTTTCATTTTTCTTGATTTAATTTTCTTTGCAACTTTGTATTTGTTTGGTTACTGACTACATTCCGATAGTCGTTCGATGTTGAATCCTAATTTGGTTTTCCTCAAATGTGTCTGTTGCATAGACATTGGGGCAGACACTTTTTGTATCCTTTTTTTTATTTTTATTTTTATGATGAATAGGTAAAGTTTTATTGACAATTGAATTTTAATCTTGTTAATTGAGTATTTCATATATTTAAATGAAAAAAGAATTATGGCAGAGATATAATTGTTATTTTTTACAAAATAATGTTTTTAAGAAATATTATTAAAAATAATTCATTTTATTCACAATAAATACAGAGGAAATGTGACAAATATAATTTGCAACAACTATGTCAACATTAAAAAAATAATTAGATTTTATGCACAATATTAACTTTCAATTATTAGTTGGAATGACAAATAGACAAATAGCCATGTAATTGATTACGTAATCACTTATATATCAATTCTGATAATACACATGATATAACCGCTCTGAAGAATAAAAGATTACTAAAATAACTTATAACAAAATAAGGCCTAATTCTAAAATAAAATACTTACACTAATTAATCATATATATTTTTAATTGTTACTAAAAATATCGTATACATATATTTTAAAGTTAAATACGTTGCTATATCTCTCTACCACTGGATTTTCTCAGACGGTTATCGGAGACTTATCGAAATATTCAATATCATTAGAAAGTCTCCGAAGTATTATCGAAAAATTGCCGAAATATTGCCAGAGTGTCCTGAACATCACCAGAAGTCATCGGAACGTCTCAAATGTTTGCTAGATGTCAAGAATATCGCCAAAAACGTAATGGAATATCCAAAATATTGCTGAAAAAATAAATTGAGAACTTAGAATGAAAAAATATAGCAAAATATACTAAATATTAATAAACTGAAAAAAAAAAAAAAAAGAAAGAAAGAAAGAAAGAAGAAGAAGAAGAAGGTAACAATAACAAGCATCAAGGAAAAAAAACATGTTACCGTTATTTTCACTTTTTCTAGGATGTAAGCAAATAATCTCTAATATTGATAAAATTAAAAAGCAAGTTTTGAAACTGTAAAATGTTACAGTTTCAAAGCATGATTTTATTAAGTATTTATTTTTATTAATCAAACTGAAAAAATATATTACGAAATTATAAAATTTTACCATTCTAAAAAAAATTATGAAACTACAAAATTTTACAGTTATAAAGAATGATTCATTTTAGTACCAAAAAAACTAAAACTGTAATATTTTATAATTTTCACCGCTTGTAACTAAAACTCGAAAACAACTTATTTAGAACTTAAAAAAATTCTCTATTAAAATAGAAAAATAGAATTATGTAGTAAAGAAAAAGTAAAAAACTAAGAGATCGAAAGAAACAAACATATATAGAGAGAGGCTTATACTCCGACAACTATTTTTAGTTTAGATCTAACTAGATTTGACATAGATCTATTTAGATTTGAAGTAAATCTACGTCAGAAATTCATCTCCTTCGCTGCTGGTAAGCACGATCAAGGAGTCGGTGTTCGGTAGTTACCGATGAACCTCAATCAATGGTGGTTGTGGGTCGCCGGAGACTGTAGATTCGAAAGAGAAGGGAAAAAAAAAGGGACTGGTCGTGGTCATGGTCATTGTCAGATATCAGAGAAAGAGAAATATATGAGTGGTTGGAATGAGAATAGCTATTGTGGAGGTCATATATATGTGGAGGTCACTATCACAATTGTTTAACTCAAAAAGTCAACAGTGGCACGTTAAAAAGTTGTTAAATTCAAGAACGAATTGGAAATTCAATTAATAAATTATTCAAAATTATTATTTTGTGATTAAAATTTATTTTACATACAAACTACATTATAAAAATTTAATTTTTACCCTACAACTATTTAAAAAAGGAGAAAGTCTGATAACCCAAATTTATTCACTCAGAATTTTCTAAATGAGTATATGATAAAAATTAATTTATATAATGTGAGATTCACAATCGATTTAAAATGCGATGAAAATTTAAAATCTTGAATTAATTAAAATGACTTTGCATTATTTACATAAAAATGACTTTGCATTATTACCCCCCCAAAAAAATCTGGGTTGGCAAGTCTCGTTCCCAGACTTTTCTAAGTTCTATTGTCTTACGTTTGTGCTTACCGGACTGGGCCCAACCATCCCTCTCTAGAGCTGTCTGCGACTCTCAATTATAGGGAACAAAAAGAGAAGATATTGTAGACCAATTCTTTGTTGGAGAACTAATATTTGTAACAGAAAAGTTAGGGATAATGAATTTTTTTTTTTAAAATGATCATTAAAGATTTATGATCTTTAAATTATCTTGATTAGTGTATGATGTTTTATTCTAAATGTAATTTAAAATTCACAAAACTTTCATGATTATTTTCATAAATTTTTTTTATGATACTTAACATTGCTGTATTTGTAATGAGGTGTAATTTCCATGCATTGATACTTTTTTTTTTCCTTTTCACACTTGCATGTAATTTCCATGTAATTTCCCTTCTAACTAATATAATGGGTGTAAGTATATCTATAATGAGGTGTAATTTTCATACATTGATACCCTTTTTTTTTTCTTTTCACACTTGCATATAATTTTCCTTCTTTCTTCTATAAATAGAAACCAGCCAATTCATCCTATACGATACAATACAATACAAAAAAAAAAAAAGAAAAAAGAAAAAAAAAAAACCACACAACCACAACAGACAAACTCAAATTTCTCAACACTTGTATATCATGGATCGAACACCCCATGTAGCTCTTCTACCAAGTCCAGGTATGGGCCATCTCATCCCTTCCATTGAATTTGCCAAGCAACTCGTCCACCACCACCACTTCTCCGCCACCATCCTCATCCCCTCCGCCGCACCACCCACCACAGCCCAAAAAACAGTCCTCCAAAAACTCCCCAAAACCATCCACCACATCTTCCTCCCACCTGTTCAATTACCTGATGACCCCCTCAGTGTTACTTCCCAAATCTCCCTCACAGTCACTCTCTCTCTTCCCTCTATTAAACACACTTTAGCTTCATTATCCACGAGTACCCGGTTGGTTTCTCTCATCGTCGATCCATTCGGCATCGACGCCGTCGATGTAGCCAAGGAGTTCGGCGTCTTGCCGTACTTGTTCTTCCCTTCATCAGCCATGTCATTGCTGTTTTGCCTTCATTTGCCGAAGATCGATGAGACGGTTACGGGCGAGTACAGAGACCTACCTGAACCGATACAATTACCTGGTTGTGTACCAGTTCACGGTACAGATCTCCCAAACCCGGTTCAAGACCGGTCAAACAAAGCATACAAGGGACTCATTGAGAGTTTAAAGCGATATGGTTTAGCCGAGGGCATAATTGTGAATACCTTCGTGGACATGGAAGATGGAGCTATAAAAGCTTTGTTGGTGGACGAGCCGGGCAAGCCGCCAGTTTATCCGGTCGGACCGCTTATCCGAACCGGTTCAAGCGTTGGATTAGAACGGTCCGAGTGTTTGAAATGGTTAGATGATCAGCCAAGTGGGTCAGTAGTGTTTGTATCATTCGGAAGTGTTGGGACTCTCTCTCATGACCAACTCAATGAGTTAGCATTGGGTTTGGAACTGAGTGGCCAAAGATTTTTGTGGGTTGTGAGAAACCCTAGTGACAATGCTAGTGCTGCATTTTTCAATGCACATAACCAAAATGACCCTTTTAGCTTCTTGCCAGAAGGGTTCTTGGAGAGGACACAAGGCCGAGGCCTAGTGGTGCCGTCGTGGGCACCGCAAACGGAGGTGTTAAGCCACCGTGCCACAGGTGGATTTTTGACCCATTGCGGATGGAACTCGACTCTGGAGAGCACTGTCCACGGTGTGCCTCTAATCGCTTGGCCACTCTTTGCAGAGCAAAAGATGAACGCGGTGATGCTAACAGAGGGTTTGAAGGTAGCATTGAGACCAAAAAGTCATGAATCAGGGTTGGTGGGACGGGAAGAGATTGCAGAAGTTGTGAAAAGTCTTATGGAAGGAGAAGATGGGAAGGAAGTTCGCCGGAGAATGAGGGGACTCAAGGATGCTGCTGCGAAGGTCTTGAGTGATGAAGGATCTTCTGCAAAATCACTATCTGATTTGGCTTTCAAGTTGAAAAATCAATTGAAAATTTGACTTCAAATCAATTATTTTATTTATTTATATATTTATTTTTTAAAGCTCGGCTCATTTTATTTTGTTCTATTCTGTTTTTCTTATTTGTCTTAATTTTCAGCTTTTTAATCTGTTGGCAATCCCATATGATTTGTATTATGTAATATAGTTGGTGTTGGAAAAGTTACCATGTTGAGTGGGTCACCTTAGAAGGAATTAGGAGTTTCTTTTTTCCCGTCTGGATTTTGGAAGTTTTATATTGTTAATTATGAGTTTCGTTTTAATAATTTAAATTATTTATTTTGTTTGATGTTTCGATATAGAGGTAATATGTAATTAAGTTTATCTTTTTGATACTAATTTAGTTGGCTAATCACATTATTATTTTTACTTTTCTATACATCTTTTATAAAGTCAAAAAATTAACTCAAATAACCAACTAATATTTGCATGGTCCTTATGCAAAATCAATTTTAACCGCACACTAATTTTTAAGGAACAATAACTTGAAAGTGTATCAGACAAATATATATATACAAATTAATGAAAAAAAATTATAATATTAATTATTAATATTTATAATATTTTTTACTTTTTAATAAATATATTTATCTGACACTGTGTCAGAGCAATTCTCTCACTTTTCAATGTGTCCGGATCCTCTAGAGTGATCCTGTGAAGTGATCCTCTAGAGTGATCCCTAATGGTGCAAAACTTGTCCCATTAATGGAAGCAATGGCTGAGATGATCCCTCGCCAAAACAACGATGTTTTGGTGAGCCAGACCAAAAAAAAAAATAAATAAATAAAAATTCCAGAGTTGCAGATCGAGTCGAGAGGGAGAAGAATGAAGAAGAAAATGGATTTGAGAAGAGGAGGAGGAAGAAGAAAATGTAAGAAAACTGGAAGAAGAAAATGGATTTGAGAGAAATTGGAAGAAAATGGATTTGAGGAAGAAGAAAAGTTTTTTGCTGTGTTGAGTTGATGGGTTTGGTCGCTCAAGAAGTTCATCGCCTTGGATGAACTTCCATTTTCTTCTTCATCTCTCAAACCCATTTTCTCTGCAAATCCAACAATTAAATGGATTTGAGGAAGAAGAAAAGTTTTTTTTGCTGTGTTGGGTTAATGGGTTTGGTCTCTCAAGAAGTTCATCGCCATAGATGAACTTTCATTTTCTTCTTCACCTCTCAAACCCATTTTCTCTGCAAATCCACTCATTTTCTCTCAAACTCAGAGTTTCCTTATTCCTCAAATCCGTTTTCTTCCGGTTTCTCTCAAATCTATTTTCTTCCGGTTTCTCTCAAATCCATTTTCTTCTTCTTCCTTCTTTCTCTCGATCTGCAACTCAGCAAATTTTTTTTTTTTTTTGGGTGGGTCTAGCTCGACATCGTTTTGGTGAGGGATCATCTCAGCCGTTGGTTCCATTAATGGGACACGTGTTGCACCATAAGAGATTACTCTAGAGGATCACTTCACAGGATCACTCTAGAGGATCCGGACGCCTTTTCAATGGCTTAAATGTAAAAATAAAAAGAGGAAATTACAAAATAAATAAATAAATAAATAAATACCAAAGTTTAAGCCACATAACAAATTAAACTCCAAGTTTTTCATTGTTTGAATGTAAACCCAATCCTTCAATTCGATGTCAATCCTAACTCTCTATTTATTTCTGTTAATTTATTTAACTGAATACTTTTTTTACAATACATATGACATTTCCGCATACTCTTTTAATAATCCTTTGAACTTTTCTACACTATATCATGACAATCATTAATCATCTATTTTTTAAGCATCATAACGGATTTCTACGATCCCAACTAAGTTGATACTGTAAAAGAAATACAATTATATATTTAGGAGTTGTTTAGAATGACCTAAATAAATGTATTTTTTATTTTTTTATAAAAAGATGTGTAAAAAACTAGAGAGGTGATATGATTAAAAAAAATAAAAAAAAAAAATTATTTTTAAGTTGCCAAACTTGATCTAATACTTTAACTCAAGATTGACGAGAACAAATCATTAATCATCTATATCATGACATCAGAACCAATTATCATCAAGACTTGACTTGCGTGATCTTGAGCACATGGGGTAGACCATAGTTCTAAATATCGGCCGGTACGATACGTACCGGCCGATTCGTACCGGAAAATTAAAGTGGCGATACGGATATGGACCGGTATACCGGTGAGACTGAAAATCGTAGCTGTAGCGTCTGATTCCCGGTACGTATCCGCCTGAATCCGATACATGCAGCGATACAGTTCCGATACGGATTTGCCATGGCCGGTACAGATGAAATTAGAGCAGAGAACCTTCAGCAAAAGCAAAAATAATCGTCGGTTACATACGAAATTGGGGCAGAGCAGAAAACCTCCTGAAATTTGTGATGTTTGATGCTCTGTTTTGCAAGTTGATTCTTTGGGCTGTTGTGCTCTGTTTTGTTGTTGGGCAAGCACACCAATATGCAACTTGCAAGCTTCTTTGTTTTCCTTATACTCTGTTACTATTGGAGAGAGAGATGCATGCCGAGAGAGAAAGAGGAGGTGCCCAGAGTCCCCCGTTGGTTTGGTGTGTCTTTACATTTTTTCCAACCCAAAACCTCTCCCGAGAGAGAGAGAGAGAGAGATGAATGGCAATGGGTGTATCTAGCGAGAGAAAAGTTCTTTACATTTTTTCCAACCCAAAACCTCTCCCGAGAGAGAGAGAGATGAATGGCAATGGGTGTATCTATCGAGGGAAAAGTTGGTGGTGTGTGTGTAGATGTTGTCTGTGTGCCGTGTGTCATGTGCATGTGTGTGTTGGGTGTGTGTGTTGGGTATGTGCAGTATAGTAATATATCATAAGGCTGAACTTGCAAGCTTTCTATACTCTGTTACTATTTTTGTTTCATATATCAATATTATTATTATTATTATTTTCGTTATGTTTTTCTATTTCATAATTTCTTTTTTAGGCCACTGTTCTTCTGCATCTTTTAAGCCACTATTTCTACACCTTTTTAAGCCACTGATTTTCTGTTGTTTATACATCTATGCCACAGTTTATATTAATATATATATATATATATATATTCTCAGTTGAGCAAGAGAAAAAAAAACAAGAAAAATAAATATTGAAATCAAAATCTTCATCTGTCAAAAGCTTACTATGTTGAAAATGTGACTAAAATAAATACATTTCATTTAGTTGAAAATAGTTAAAAGTGTTCCTACCTATCAAAATTTTGATTAAAATGTGACAAATTAAGACTTAAAGAGTAAAAAAAATGCATAAAATTGAGTTTTGGAGGGATTGTTAATGATTTTTAAAATTTCACGGCCGCGACACCCGATTCCTGATACGTACCGGTCGATACTACCGATACCGATACTCCGCGATCGATACCGTTACGTTACCCGATACCGCGATTTAGAACTATGATTCCAGTAAGTCCAACTACACCAGTAGTCTTTTAGCCTAAGAAGCAACTGTATATTAATCTCCGACAACAAGAATATATACTCCTTTTTTCTTTTCTTTTTTTTCTTTTTTTCTTATTTGTTTTTTGATCCATGAAAACCCATAAGCTTCTACAAGAGTATCCTGAAGCCTAGGCTCTTGGCAAATTAAGGTAAAAATTGCTTACTAAAGAGATCTATAACTACTGAATTCTTAGAATAAAAAATCTATATTAGAAAGCAAAAGAAATAGAAAAATGACATATATAAACTAGGAAACAATGTGGACAAATATTTTCTCCGATTTAACTATGATTTTTCTCTGCAAACAATGACAAGATGAGGAAAATGTTATCAGAACAGTAGTTTGTGATGCTTGTAGATAGTTCAAGTGACATAGATCAATTATGTAATTTAAATTGCTTTAAAATAGCATTGGCAATAACATATTGAAATTCATTTGTCCACATTGGGTTGAGCAGCATCTACCTATACCATTACGTAATAGCCACTATTTAAAAACCTTGTTCCACTCCAAGGTGACATTCAACTTAACAGTCATTACATTACACTAATGGTGAAGTCTAAACCTATTATTGTTGTCCTTACTAATTGCGTAATTAAATTCACATGTAAAGGGCAACCAAGAGAGTTCCCACCTCCTGACAATGTAGTGTAGAG